GTGGCCGGGAGCGGCCACTGCACTCCAGTCTGGGCGACAGAGTGAGACTCCAACTCAAAAAAAAAAAAAATAAAAAAAATAAAAAAAAAAAATAAAAAAGTAGATTGCCTAATGGTTATCAGTTTTATGTTTATAATCACCATAGCCCATTAATCATATTGGTATTCTATGATCAAGAAAGATTGGAGAAGAAAAATGGAACTGCAAGAAGAAATAAAGTATTAATCAGAAACCATCCAGAACATTAAAAAAAATAGTCTTTGTTTATTACATTCTGTTTCTGCTAGTCTCTGGGCAATCTAAAAAAAAAAACAAAAACGCAGTCATAAGAATTGTAGCCACATGGTGCTTCCCCACCCTTTCCAGAATTGCCGTTAAATTGGATCCCACACTGTGGACCTGAAAAAAGGGACTAGAGGGTGCTACTTTTCTCCCTTGACATTTTACTTGGTTTCCAAAGGAATTCGTGACTAAGAATCCCATGAAATCTAAATGCGGTTACTGATGGAAATGCAGGTTGTCAAAAAAAAAAAGCACAATAAGAAATTTACATGGCAAGGCAAAAATAGATTTGCTTTGGCAAATGGATTAAGTGTGTGTGCATGTGGTGTGTAAATCACACACATATATCAGTGAATATATATATATATATATATAATATATTTCAGTAGTTTGCTGGGTCTAGTAATATATTCAATTATTTAAACATTGTTTTTTTCTAGCAATTATATAACTATCATTATTTAATTATGTTTTTGTTTTCAGCAAGTTTATAAACTTTGGACACATTGAGATTATGTAAGCCCTTGGTCGGCATGAATATTATATTAACTTATATGTAATAAAAGTGTTTACCTGTTTTTTTCGTAAGTATAAGAATTTAGAAAGACAATATATTTTAAGGCACACGTAGACCCAACTGACACATTCTTTTATCCACGAAAGTCACATCAAATTCATGAGAAAACAGAAGATTCAGTTGTCACTATTCAGTAGTTCTTATTTCTGTTCATTTATTACTCTGTTCATTAGCACATCCTGGTAAATGCTTAAAAGAAAGCCCTGATGTGTAGCATTTACCAACCTCTATGGTATTAATACTCCCACCAGGGCCAATTTCAAGGCCACTGAACACTGAGTTGCAAAGAAATGCCAATAATCAGTTCCCATTAGATGTTAAGGACTTGAGAACTCTACTGCCTATAACCAGGAGAGAAAAGAATGTTAGCAACGTTCAACTGCCTAGAATGTTCTCATTATAAAGGATGAGGCGAAATTGTGGGTATTTCAATTACAATAAAAATACTAACAAACAATGACCAACCCGTTACCACTATCAATCAACTAACACTACTATATAAAGCTGTACCTCTGCAGAATCCTCACAACATAAACTAAGCACTCTATCCTCAAAAATAACTCAATCCTCTAAATTCTTAAACTCAATTACAAACCCAATTGAGTCAGGTAGAAGTCAGATCGTGAGGAGCCTTGAGGTCTTTCCAGGAGATTCAGTGACCATAGGATTTGGTAGGTATTCAGATGAGAGATGATAATGGCTTTCATTAATTATAGATCATTAATTGTAGTGACCATGGCATTTTGAAGAAATCCAGAGAAGAGATGATGGTATTCCTAAACATGGTAACGTTGATGGGACTTTTAAAATATTTGGTAAGAGGTGAGGATGTCCCTACTTAGGTAGTAAACGTGGGATACTGAAGTTAAAAGGCCAGAAATGAACCTTGGCCAGACACAGTGACTCATGCCTATAATCTCAGCACTTGGCTGGGCTCAGTGGCTCAGCCTATAATCCCAGCACTTTGGGAGGCCGAGGCAAGTGGATTGCCAGAGCTCATGAGTTCGAGACCCACCCGGGCAACTTGGCGAGACCTCATCTCTACAATAAATCAAAAACTACCTGGGTATGGTTAGCGCGCGCCTGTAGTTCCAGCTACTTGGAAGGCTGAGGTGGAAGGATCACCTGAGACCAGGGAGCCGAGGCTGCAGTGAACCATAATCATGCCACTGTATTCCGGCCTGGGTGACAGAGTGAGACTCTGACTGAATAATATTAATAATAAAGAAACGAACCTAACTGTGAGAGTGACCATGGTATTTTGTAGCTATCCAGATAAGAGATGTTGGTGACCCTAACTATAGCACTAAAATGGGATTCCTCAGGTGGGCAAGTAGGAACTGATGTTGTCCTTTACCATGCTAATGAACATGGCATTTTTTGGTATTCCAGGTGTGATGGTGAATTTAACTACAAAAATGTCCACATGATTTTTCAGGAATCTAGTAAAGAGACGATAATCTCCTTAACCACGGAAGTGGTGATAGGATTTTGTAGGTAAGTAATTACGAGATTATGGTGATCCTAACCACAGTAGTGAAAAAGGGATTTTGCCAATAACCAGGTAAGAGATGATGGTGTCTCCAAAAATGTGGTGATCATGGGACTTTGCAGGTATCCAGTTAAGAAATGATGTATGGTTGGGCTCTGTGGCTCAGCCTGTAATCCCAGCACTTTGGGAGGCCAAGGCAAATGGATTGCCTGAGCCTGTGGGTTTGAGACCAGCCCGGGCAACTTGGCGAGACCTCATCTCTGCAAAAAATAAAAAATTAGCTGGGTGTGGTTGTGTGCACCTGTAGTTATGGCTACTTGGAAGGCTGAGGTGGAAGGATTGCTGGAGCCCAGCAGGGTCGTTGCTGGGATGGCTGTGAGTGTGCCACTCCAGCCTGGGTGACAGAGTGAGACTTCCAACTCAAAAAGAAAGAAAGAAAGAAATGATGTAAAAAAGAAAGAAATTGGGTTTTGTTTTGTTTTGTTTTTTTGAGTTGGAGTCTCACTCTGTCGCCCAGACTGGAGTGCAGTGGCTACTCCCGGCCACCGCAGCCTCAACCTGCTGGGCTCCGGCGATCCTTCCGCCTCAGCCTTCTACGTAGCCGGAGTTACAGGCATGCGCTGCAACGCCCGGCTGATTTTTTGATTTATTGTAGAGATGAGGTCTCACCAAGTTGCCCAGGCAGGTCTCGAACCCGCGGGCTCAGGCAATTCACTCACCTCAGCCTCCCAAAGCGCAGATTACAGGCTGAGCCACCGAGCCCGGCTAAAAAGAAAGAAATTGTGACTAGCAATGGTAATACCAAAGTATTTTACAGTTTCCCAGGAAAGAGATGATATGTCCCTAGCAATGGGTAATCTGGGTAATTTGTATGATAGATTTTTCTAAATCTGGTCTCCCATTCACCTAGCAATAGGGCTGTACCCTGCCTAGTTTTCAAGATAAGCATGTTCAGGGAATGGCCGTAGATAGGTTTTTCTAAATTTGGTAGATACATGGGTTTCTGTTGGCATCCATACAATAATTGATGTGTCACTAATTATAGCTAATTGTCACTACTGTAACCAAGGTATTTTACACGTATGCAGCTAAGAGCTAGACTGACTGTAGGATTTTGAAGATATCTAGTAAGTAATAATTGTGGCTTAAACTGTGGTAGTGCTCATAAGCAGTGCCCTTGTCCTGATAGGAGATAATGTGTGTCTAATTACAGTTGTCATCATCATTTTTTGCAGATTCCAGTAAAAAAAAAGATAGATAAACTTAACTGTGGCAATGAACATGGGATTCGGCAGGTATTAAGGCAAGAAATAACATGGGCTTTCACCAATTAATTGGACATGATTGCATTTTGGAGATGTCTAAGTATGTGGTCATGGTGTCTCTAACCGCAGTAAGGACCATGGGATTTTGCAGGTTGCAGTCAATAGATGATGGTGAATTTAACAATGGGAATAAACATGGGGTTCACTGATAACCAGGTAAGACATGCTATGGTCCTTAAACATGTGATTTTTCAGACATCTAGATAAGCAATAACAATGTCCTGAAATCTTAAGGTAACCATAAGGATTTTTTTCACTTTTTGTGTGTTTGTTACATAGGCATATTGTGTATTGATGGGAATTGGGCTTCAAGTGTCCCCATTCCCCAGATATTAAACATTGTACCCAATAGGTAGCTTCTCAACCTTTGTCCTCTTCTCCGCCTCCCTGATTTTAGTGTTTTCTATTTCACATTTTAAAAAATACTTATTCAGTCTCAAATACTTGTACAGTACTGATTTCAGAGTTAGGAAAACTCCCGAGTCATAACATAATGATCCCATTGTAAAGGGGTTAAAACAAACCTCAGAAGAAATTACCACCTGTAAAAAGAGTTGTAGAAAAATAATAAAAACCAAGTAGCAAAAAAAATGTGATCACAGAAAATAACATGAGAAACGAGTGCACAATACCTTGTCGGAGGGAGAACCGTTTTTCTGTCTGGAACCATTTCTCTTATCCACACAAAGACACTTTTCTAATTAACTTGATAAAATAAAGGCAACTATTCAATGATGAAAGTGAGTCAAAAACTTACAACAGCAGGAAAAAAAAGCTATATGGGAAAAATTCTGTGGCAAGAGTTAATTAGTTGGTCTGCAAAAAGATCCAAGAAAAATGCCCTAATTTTAAACACGGTAAATATTGCACACCTAAAAAAAGAAGAAGGAACACTTAGAAAACTATTTTAACATTTTTTAATTGCTGAATACCTTTTTGGCTACTATTTGGAGGATCATTATTTAGTCTTACAATTGCACATTTTTTCATATCCTTGTTGTTTTGTTTGCACACCGGCTAGAAGTCTTAGTTCCTCGTCTCTGATGTGTTGCCCAGATATATTTTACACTAAAATCACACAGGAGGATACTGGAAGATAAAGATAGCCAAATGATTCTTAAACATCTTATTTTTTTCCATCTATTCTTGAATTTTTTTCTAACAGTCTCTAAAAGCTGCCTTAAGTGTGTCTTCATCATCTAGGTCACTCCCACATGCTTCTGAGCTTGTGGTTGGCCTTTCACATAGATATGAACTCTGTTCTGGTGGATCTTCCTGTTGGCAGTGGTGGTGGTGGTCCTGGTGGTGCTGCCGCCACTGCTTTTTAGAGTAGGCTTCTTTTCTCCTCCACAGCCCTTTTGAAGTAAGATTCGTATCAGATGTCTGTGGAATATCTTGAGATGTGCTACTGCCACAATCTTGCATACTTAGCTGAATAGCTCTGCAGAGATCTGCTTCTTCATCTTCTATGTTCATTTCTTGGAGACTTAGTTCCAGAACCCTCTGCAAATCCTTCTCTTCATCTAATATTCCAGACTCATCGCTTGTTTCTACGATTCGTTCCAGGTCTGCTTTATGGGCTCTTTTCTCCTTTTGTTTTTCTGATTCTTTTCCAATAAATCTTGATCTAGGTTTCTGTTTGACTCTGATCATCTGCAGGAGTTGGTCAGCTTCACAATCTGGTAGATCACCCTTAACAACAAATATGGAATAACCTTCTTGTTGTAATTGAATCAAGTAAAGCGCGAGGTAGTTATCTGATATTAATTCTGGGCTTTGCAAGTCAGAATTTAGGTTAAACCATTGTTTTCCTAATTTTCTGATGGTAAACCAGTGTTCTTTATAATTACATATAAATGATGTTTCATTTATGGGATCGATTTTGAGCTTCTGATACTCTGGATTGTTGAACAATATTAATTCTAAGCCCCAGACTTTCAAAGCATTGCTTATAACCTGAATAGAAAAGAAACCACTGTCGTCCATATTTCCAGAAGGCTGCTGTGAAAATGTGTGATAGGCTTCACTGGTGACTCCTCCTTCTGCCATTCTTACCCTTTCCTCTTCATCGAGCTGATGTGCAATTGATGATAATTCCACTGGACTAAAATATTCTCCTTGCAAGAGATTATTCAGGCAATGCTGAGCACAGAGTGAACCTTCTTGCTTCTCATGAAAGATGGACTCCATGTTGATTTTAACCATGAGTTGTTTGTTGTAGGTACATCTTGTGCATTATGTTTCTTCAGAGGTGGTGGCACTTAGCTGGGTAACTTGTAGGCATTCATGTAAGAGATGGTATGTCTCTAAACCTAATAAAGACCAGGGGCTTCTGTTGGTATCCAGGTAAGTGATGATATGTCACAAACCACCATTGTGACCAAGGTTGTTTTATCAATATTCAGTCAAGAGCTGATGGTCAACCTAAAGTGAATATGAGACTTTGAAGTTATCCTGTAGGTGATATAATGGCGACTTAAACTATGATAGTGCCCATGGGATTTTTCAGGTATCCTGTGAAAGATAATGTTGTCAGGTTGTCACCATGGTTTTTGCAGATTTTTAATAAACAAATAAAGGTGAAATTAACCACAGTAGTAAACATAAGACTTGGCAGGTAACACAGAAAGAAATAACATGGGCTTTAATTGAGTGACACCATGGGATTTTGGAAGTGTCTAGATAGTTTGATGTCACTGACCACAGAATTGATCATGGGGTTTTCAGGTTCCAGTCAACAGATGATGATAAAACTAACAATGGTGTAAAGATGAGACTTTGCTGATATTTGAGTAAGAGATGATGTGGGCCTTAAACACATTAGTGACTATGATTTTTCAGCTATCTGGAAAAATAATGATGCTGTTCTGAACTGTTTTCATATCCATGTGCTTTTTAAAAAATTCTAAATATTTATTATATCATGCCAACCAAAAAGAGTATGGGTATTTTTATCTGTATTCAGAAGACTGGTTTAAAAGAAAAATCCATCCCAAATGTCAAAATACTTATTTTGGCTAGTAAAATACAAAATTCTTCATTATTATTACTTCTTGCAAGTTTAACAAATCACATTTTAACCATCTTTGTGAACATTTTCTCTTGACCAATGACACTTCGAAAATGTCTACCATTCTTTTTTTCAATTTTTAATTTTAAATATATGGGGTACAATTCAGGGTTAGGTATGCAAATGTTCATTATGCAAGTACCCTTGTTGATGAGGTGTGCCCCTTCCTCCCCCCATGTGCTTTTACAGGTGTTCAGATAAGAAATGAGCATCTCTAACAAAAATAGTGACCATCAGATTTTACTATTTTCTAGTTTAGCGACTACTTATCTTAAAACTTAGTAGTGACAAAGATATTAGCAGGTATCTGGGTAAGATATCACAGAGCTCCTTACCATAGTAGTGACTATGGGATTTTGCAGGTGTCCAGTGAATAGATGGTGTGTGAAACTACTATGTTGACCTTGGAGCTCTCCAAGTGTCCACGTAGAGTTACTGGCTGCACTAATAATCGTAGTGAATGGATAAATAGAATTAGCATGGGTCCAAATGGAAGAACATGTATCCCTAACTAGGCTTGCCACCATGTTTTTTCAGGTTGTATTCAAGAGATGATGGTGTCTGTAACTACAATGTTGGCCTTAGAACAAAAGGATCTAAATAGAGTTAATGATTCCCCTAACAATACTAGTGACCATGAGATTTTTTGAGGTCCACGTAGAAGATGTGCCCCTCAAATATATGGACTTCGCAGCAACTTGGATGGATTTGGAGTTGATCATACTTAGTGATCTATCACAGAAACAAAGAACAGAGTACCATAAGTTCTCACTCATAAGTGAACCTTGGACAATTATAATACTATAAGAAAGCATTTGGTAGTAATGGGAAACTGTCAGAGGAGGGGGAATGGGATTGGCGGTTGAGGGAAACTACTAGGGGAGGGAGGGGCACATCTCATCAACAAGGGTACCTGCATAATCAATGTTTGTATATCTAACCCTGAATTGTACCCCACATCTTTATAATTTAAAAAAAATTTAAAAAAAGATGTTTCCCTAACTGTAGTTGGTACTATGTGGTTTTTCAGGCTCTAATCAAGAGACAATGGTAAATCTCACAATGGTCATTTTTGTAGCAATTTCATGGAATCCAGGTAAGTGATGATATGGATATCACTTATGGATATATGTCATATCACATATAACAGCATGTGTTAGTACCATGTTTTTTTGCAGGTATTCAGGTAAAAAAAATGATACTGGCTCTACCAAAAATACTAATAACCATGATATCTGGTTTAACCGATTTTCTAGTTTATAGATGATATGTTTAACTTAGGAGTGAATGAGGAATTTGCAGGTATCCAGGTAAGTGATCATAACTTTCTTCACTACAGTACTGACCATGAAATAGGTACACAGTCAAGAGATAATGGTGTCTGTAACTGTGGTGTTGACCTTGAAGTTCTTTCAGTATCTAGGTAGCATTAATGGATTTGTAAAGATGGAAGTGACAAATGTTATTTTCAGGTGTTCTGATAGAAAAAGTTACATCCTTAAACATATCTTTCACAATATATATATATATTTAGGTTTCAGTTTAAAGACCATGGCAACCGTAACAACGGTAGTTAATGTGGAACTTTACTGGTATCCAGGTAAGTGATGTGGATCTTACTACACAATAGACCTTCTGACTTACAGAAATTTACGTAAGTGGTGGCTGTACCCCTAGCATTTGAGTTATAGTGTTTTTGTTGCAGATATTCAGGTAAGAAATGATAGTGTTTCCACAAATACTACTTAAGAATAAGCCGTTACTGTTTACTAGTTCATAGATAGTGTTCTGAAACCTGAGTAAGCCTGAGGGATTTTTTAATTTACAGGTAAATTTTCATAGTGCTTCTCATCTCAATATTGACCATGGTATTTTTACAGGTACCCACTCAAGAGATTATGATGTGTCTGTGGTTTTGACCTTGATATTCTGCATGTATCCAGGTAAAATTGATAGCTCCCCCAGTGCTGATGGTACCCATAAGATGTTGCACGGTCTACGTAGAACAAGACGTATCCCTAACCATGGTTTCCACCATGGGTTTCAGGTTCTACTCAATGTATGATGGTGAAACTAACAATAGTAGTGAATGTGGACTTTGCAGGAAGATAGGTAAGAGAAGTTGTGAGCCTCTACCTATTAGAGATATTTAGGTTTCAGGTGTCTAGGTAAGAGTTGATGGTGCCTATAACACTTGTGACCACAAGGTTTTTTGTTTATTTATTTATTTTTAACAGGTTTTCAGGTAAGGGTTTGCTAATATAAAGGTGAAAAATGATGTGACATTTACACATTAGAGATTTAAATTTCAGATACTAGGTGATTGATAATGGTGATCATAATTCTGACAGTGACCTCATTTTTAGCAGGTTTGCGGGGAAAAAATTAATTTGCTCCAATAATAATAGTAAGCATGAGATTTTATGTATTTTTGTTTAGTAAGAATTTGTATTTAACTTTAATAGTAATTGAAGAATCTGCAAGTGTCTAGGTAAGTTATCACATTGTCTATCACCACACTATTGACCATGGAACTTTTACAGGTATTCTTTCAAAAGAGAGCAGTGCCTTTACTAGGGTTTGACTTCACAGCTCTGCAACTATTCAGGTAGCATTAATAAGTCACAAAAATAAGTGACCAGGGTATGTGCAGGTGTTCTGGCATGATAAGAAGTGTTCCAAACACGTTTTTCTTTTTCTTTTCTTTTTTTGTTTTTTGAGTTGGAGTCTCACTCTGTCGCCCAGGCTGGAGTGCAGTGGCCGCTCCCAGCCACCACAGTCTCGATCTGTTGGGCTCCGGTGATCCTTCCACCTCAGCCTTCCAAGTAGCTGGAACTACAGGCGTGCGCTACCACGTCCGGCTAATTTTTTTTATTTATTGTAGAGATGAGGTCTCGCCAAGTTGCCGGCGGGTCTCGAACCTGCAGGCTTAGTCAATTCACTCACCTTGGCCTTCCAATGTGTGGGATTACAGGCTGAGCCACAGAGCCCGGCCACATTTTTCATAATATGCTTTTCAGGTTCCTTTCAAGAGATCATAATGAACTTAACAATGGTCATTAATGGGGGACATTGCTGGTATCAAGGTAAATAATGATGTGGGCTTAAACAGCTCACATCAGCAAAAAACAGCTCATCTTCATATAAGAAGGGATGTGCTGACAGTTTTCTGAACAACTATTGTTATGATGTTTGTTTTGTGAGTATTGAGATAAGAAATGATAGAGTTCTTACCATTGTTAGAAACCATGAGTTCTTTTTACATTTTTGAGAAAATTTCTCTTTCACCTTGTTGTAGGTATTGAAACATTGCGAAGCCAGGCTCGGTGGCTAAGCCTGTAATCCCGTGATTTGGGAGTCTGAGGTGAGTGGATTGCCTGAGCCCGCGGGTTCGAGACCCGCCTGGGCAACTTGGCGAGACCTCATCTCTACAATAAATAAAAAAAAAACTAGCCGGGCGTGGTAGTGCGCGTCTGTAGTTCCAGCTACTTGAAGGCTGGGGCAGAAGGACTGCCGGAGCCCAGCAGGTCGAGGTTGCGGTGGCCGGGAGCAGCCACTGCACTCCAGTTTGGGCAACAGAGTAAGACTCCAACTCAAAAAAAAAAAAAGAAACATTGCCATATCAGATAGTTATCACAGTATTCCTCACCAAAGTAGTAACCATGGGATGCTTGGAGTTGTCCAGTCAAGAAATAATGGTCTTATATGACAATATTGTTGACCTTGGAGTACTGCAATTGTCCAGGTAGAATTTATATGTCCTATAATGATGAAAATGACCAAAGTTATTTGTAGTTACCATTGTTAAAATATTTCAAAATGTGCTTTTCAAATTCCTGTCCAGAGATCATGGTGAACCCAAATGTGGCTGTTAATCCGGGACTTTGCTAATATCCAGGTACGTGATTATGTGGGTCTTACACACTATAGAATATCTGATCTTCACTAACCTGGGTCAGTGATGATGGTGTCCTAATACTTGTGTTACCATGGTATTTTTTTTCAGGTATCAGGTAAGGATTTTGCTAGTATACAGGTAATAAGTGTTCTGATATCTGTATATTAGAGACCCTATTTTAAGATACTCAGATAATTAATAATGGCATTGAGAACTCTTATACT